ATTAAGAAACAAGTTTAGAAATTGTCGGGTGTGGATTAGACTTGACACGACCCGTACCGTACCGTCAATTCTGGTAAGTATATTTATCTGATTATAAGAAAAAAGTGAAATGTAACAATAAATTAATCTTATGCTACTTTTCTTACTTTTAGTGGTTACCTTTAGCTCGATTCCAAGATACCCAGACTGGTATAAATATATATAAGACTTATTAAAAATTTAACATATGCAGTAAATTGCTTTTTTATGAACTTTTGTTTACATTTTTAGTGGTTGCTTCATCATCAAACATACTTAAGGTAACCTATTGTCATATTTCAAAGTGTTTGGTTTTTTAAAATGTTTAAATTTCAAAAAATTTGAGGTAGTTACTTGTGTTTATATTATACGTTTATTTGTTATAGAACTTTTTTTAAATAGTTAAAATTACACCTATGTTTAAAATATTTTTATGCTCCTTTTCTAAATCTATTATAACTTTTTTATTTTATCTGTTGATGTAACAGCTTCAGCAGGCAACAGTGGTGAGCGTATACATTGTTACTTGCAAAAGTAGCTAAAATAATATTTTTTCAAGACTATTTTTAATTTTTATTTTAAAACAAAAACTTGTATTATGCTTTCAGAACTAACACATGAGCGCTATATGGAATATAGGAGGCAGCACCCGGGCTCCAACTCACATTATTCTTATCTAGTGTGGGTGGAGTATGGAGGTCACGATCGGCAACATTATTACTGGAATCGTGATTCTCCATACCCGGGTGCCGAGTGCTGGCTACAGAAGTAGAAGACGAGATGGCCGTGGAAAACGGGGAAATGTGTTTCATTACAATGTCTATAATTAGTGAAAATTCCTTGCAAATGGTAGCATTTGTTACACTGAAAGTTATTTACAGGGTTCTAATTACACCTGTTATAGACAATGTAATGTTTTTTTTTTAATTGTTTTTACTAAAATAATTTTAAAATTTTAAAATAATTTTGTTTTATTTATATTTGCTTCAATGGCTTTTTACAACAAAGTTTAAAAGTTTTTTATTTATTTACCCGCGGCTCAGTAGTTTTTATAATAATTTTAATTGATGCTGGTTTCAAACCACTAATACTAACACAAAACAATGTTCCAAATGTACACAAAACAATGTTCCAAAATGTAATAGAGTAAATTCATGTAATAGAGTTGACAAAACAATGTAATAGAGTATATTCATTACTGTCATCAGAAATGTATATACTATTATTTCTTCTTGTATAATTTTTTCTATAGATTTTTTTAATACTAAACTAATATATCTCATGATTATAACTTAATATGGAAATCTTTTGACTTGCAAAATTTGTATCACAGTTGGTTTAAGTGGCAAACAGGTACCGTTTTGTAAGTGTCTGAGTGAGTGGTAAGGATTAATAAACTTTTTTTTAGTGTTATACATATTTAAACATCAACTTTAATTTTTATTTTATTTTTTTGGTTTCTTTTACATTCTTAAATTCATTAGGAAACTCATCAGTTGCAACTAATTGATGCTTTAATGGGTCGACACGTATTTAAAGGATAATTTAAAAAACATTTAATTAGTAATTATACGTTGTAACACGAATATTGGGTGCCTGAATGAACACGTTTTGTTTCTCTTTACTAGCAATGATGAGTTGTTTACCAAAGCAGAAGCAAAAGTCAATGACCATTTTAACTTGAATATTTGCTCCAGTTATATTAAAAAAGTAGTGTCCATAGCCAAAAACTGGTCTAAACATTTTTTAAGGAAATATGACAGTTGAGGTTGCATTTTGTAATGAGCCCTTTATAAACCATGCACCAATGATTGCAATTATATCACAGTTTACCTTAAGTAGCACTAATTACACACTATAACATTCTTCTGTTTTGTCATCAGAACACACCAGTGTCACATCTCTGATAAGTAATGAACTTTCATGTTCTGGTGGCCATGAAGCAAATTTAACAACTAAGCAGACTAAGAAGAAAAAATTATTTACCTACTTGTCTCATTTGTTTTCTAGATTACCAATTTTTTCCATAGCAAATCGTAAGAAGATAGCTTCAAAGAAAGCAAAATTATCCAGCCTGCCATATAATTTAAAAGTTCTAAGGCAAAGTGTTAAAAGAAAAGAAGATATTATAAAAGCTTTAAGAGCTTAGGTTAGAGATTTGAACATAATAGCCAAACATATTATTACAGCCGGCAAATTCGCTATCTTATTGCATTAAAAAGCAATAGAAATTTGAGAGAGAAAAAGTTTAGAAAATTAGCTCTCAGACATAATGCTGCGATTAGAAAAAAAACCGGATAATACTAGCTTAGATGATAGTTTCACCCAAATTGACGAGGACAAGATAAGTATTACAAATACAACTGATTGTAAAAGCTATCCATTATCCTACTCATTTAGCACATAGAATACGAATAAAAACACGACTACAACATATTAAATTTAGAGCTGATATTTCTAAAAATTCAATAAAAAAGAAAAAAGAAAGTTAGAGCAACAATTAACATTATTAACTATCAGTGAAATTCAAAATTTGTTTAAAAACTTATCTACTAAGCAAATTGATAATTTAAATGATGTTTTTGCGTGGAAGAAAAGTTAGGAGAAATCTTCGCCATGAATGGTATGATTCCGATACAGCAATGACAGTCTTGTATAATGGCAAAGTGGAAAAACTTAAAAAAACACAAAAAGGCATTATATACACTACTTCTTACTGGATTAGAGAAGAAAATAATACTAAAGCAGTTGATTATAATATGAAAAATTCCAGCTAGATGCTGACATTGTATCCGGTGAGTTGATATTTTCCTAATGTAAATATGTTGTATTTATATTTTTATAATTAGAAATTCATTTTATTATCTTACCACTTTATTTTACTTTTTTTTGACTGACTCTCTTTCTATATATATGTATATGTATATGTGTATATATATATATGTGTATATATATATATATATATATATATATATATATATATATATATATATATATATAGTTATATATATAGTTACATATATAGTTATATATATATATATATATATATATATATATATATATATATATATATAAATATATATATATATATATATATATATATATATATATATATATATATATATATATATATTTATATATATATATATATATATATATATATATATATATATATATATATATATATATATATATATATATATATATATATATATATATAAGTTATATAATATATATAAAAGTACAAATCCGTTCTAACTCAAATCGCAGACCTGGAAAAATGTTTACGCATGCGTATTTTCTGTGTAATTTAAAACCATATTAAAACATAAAAATAGCCTCGTGCGCCAGTTCAAAGCCTAATGTAAGGCTTATTATTTCTCTATAGCTTATGTAAACAGATTAATACATATATTAAGTTATAATTAAATATATATAGTTTATCATAATATTAGATATTGTTATGTACTTATATAAAACAAATAAAGCTTTTGTTGTTTGTTGTTGTTAGGAATTATCATTCATCGATTAATTAATCAACATTTAATAAAATGTCATCATCTGGTAAGAAAATCTAAATCTGCTGCTGTTTTGTTTTTCAATCAATCATTTATTTGAATTTAAATGTTAATGCAAACTTAGAATTAACAAACTTGTTCGACATATATGTTTGTATGAAAATAAGTAAAAGCATAAAAGTTAATAACTCACAGAATTTTTATATAAAAACTCTGTGAGTTATCATGACTTTTGCTTTTACTTATTTTCATACAAATAATAATATACATATCTAAAATACTATATAATTATATAGTATTTTAGATATATATATTATTATTTGTTTATAAAATAATTAATAACAATATTAGCGTTAATAAGAGCTTAATAGTAGTAACAATAACACAAAAAATAATTAAAAAAAAAACAATACTAATAAAACAACTAAAATGACACCTATAGGCTATAGGTATCATGTTTATTAGTATTGTTTTTTTTAATTATTTTTGTGTTATAGTTACTACTAATAAGCTCTTATTAGCGCTAATATTATTATTAATTATTTTATATTACAAATAATAATAGAGTATAGCAATAACAACTATAGTAAGATATGCATAGCAATATAAATTAACTAACTACAGTATAACTGCTAATATATAACTATAGTATAGTATAACTAATAATAACAAAAATGATAGTATAACTAATATAATATATTAAAAGAATTGTATAACTAATAACTATCTATAGTATAGCAATGACAAAAACATGAGCAAAAACAACAATAGGAATACTAATTAAGCATTAGACAATAATAACTTAAGTTTTACAAGTACGAAAGATAAGATAAAGATGATATAAAATCATTTGAATAGGTTTTTCAAGAAATTCAAATTTTGATTCATTTTTAGAGGAAGAACAACTTCGATCTTCTAGATCAAAATCATCCAGATCAAGATCATCCAGGAGATCAAGTATATTTAAAAAAAAAAACATGTATATGTAAAGAGAGAGATAAATTATTTTTTTCTAATTATAGTATATATTACGTTATACTTTTATACTATTTGTTTTTAGAAGAAGAACCCAGACGTTCTAAAAATAAAAAATAAAAAAAAAGTATAACACTTTAATTTTATATATCCAAAAGGGATATATTAGTTAATAATAATTGATATTGTTGATAATACTTTATAATTTAGAAGTGTGTTTATGTATTATTAATTTTCAGTAGGAGGAAGGATGGACTGACTAAAAGTTTTACGCTTGCCTAATATATTTTATATATATATATATATATTTTATATATAGATATATATATATATATATATATATATATATATATATATATATATATATATATATATATATATATATATATATATATATATATATAATATTTATTAAGAAGTAGAACAAAATATATTTAATTATAATCTTTTTTTTATTGTTATGTTGAATTATTAAACAGTTTTAGATGGAATAATCAAATTTTTATTTATCTATTTGTAGATAGAGAAAAAATGTTGGAAAGTATTGGTGAGCTTTTTTGTTTTGATAGTTTATATTTTATACATGTTACACTTTTTTTTTGTATTGCTCAATTAAATAAATTTTTATAAATTTTTAATAACTGCATATAAATATTGTCCATTCATTTCTATATGTATATGAAGTGCTTGTGCGTTCTGATGGAATATGAAATTCTGAAGGAGACAGTTAGTTCAAATTTCATAATAATAAAAATAATCATAAAAAGTACGTGTTACGACTATTAAACAGTTTGACTGTTGACTAAATCGACAATTATGTTTTCTACATTTTCAAAATTCACTAAATTGACTAACACTTTTTTGAAATTGACTAAATCAATTTAGTCGAAATATGTGAATAAACTATTTAAAATAAATGCAATTTAAATTAATCGAGTAATTTAGGGCTGAGTACCACATTTTTAGGACTAGAGCTGTAAATATTGGGGGTTTGATTATCACTTAAAAATACCCAGCGGGAGAGAAACTTTTTTTGGGTGTCTGCAGGGCTGAAGATCCCCAGTCACACTGGTATACGGTCACAAGTTTGGGGGACAGACAGGTTCCCCAAACAGGCGGTTAATTTTGTTAGATGTTATGGTTAATTAGAAAAATAAAAAGCATTAACATTACTTACCATTAACTTATGGGGAAATTAGTTCTAGTTACTAGACATAGCCATCAAAAGGTGTTAATGAAATAACTTTCTATATTTATTAAAATTTATATGCAGTTATTATTATTGGACAATATTTATATGCAGTTATTAACAACTTATAAGATTTAATTAGTTGAGCAATACAGAAACAATAGTGACATGTATAAAATATAAATCTAATACTATCTACATAGAGACTTGTTGTTTAAGTTGTAATTTTGTCTTTTCTTTAGTTGCACAACAAACAGAAATATGTATGTTTATTTTTTAAGTAATTTTTATTTATAATCAATATTTGTTTGAGATGTTAAACGACTATGTAAAACTCAAAAAGTCAAAGTATATATATATTTTTTCCTTTGTCTTTTTGTAACTATTACGATTTGTTTTTTTAGTGGAACAGCAAAGAGAGATGTGTAGGGATTTATTTTCAGTTATGTTTAAATTATTTTAGATATATACTTTAATTTATTATAGATTACATCACTGATTATTTATGTTTTATATGTATATTTTTTATAACTTATTTAGTAAAACGTGTTGGGCAAATAGAAGATAAGGCAGGTATATGTTCAACCTATTTAAATTATAAAAAAAAGCTATCTACAATCTTCTTAATACGGAGGTCACTTTTATCATTTTTTAAAAAATTTTATTGAGGGTTTTTGGTTTTTGTCAATATAATGGTAATATATGTTTTGATACTGATATATATGTTATATATATAGTTTCTATATATATAACATATATATCAGTATCTGGTAGGTTTCATAATTTTTTAGCCTACCAGCTACTGATATATAACATATATATCAGTAGCTGGTAGGTTTCATAATTTTTATAGTTTCTATAAAAATTATGAAACCTACCAGCTGAAAGCTTAATTAAGAGAATAGTAAGGGAAAATATGTTTTAGATTTTTCTGGATATTTTACATAAACTATATTTTCTGGATTTTTAAAAAATGACCTGGATAATCACTGATATATATATATATACATATATCAGGGTGTTACCTAGCCCAATGGAACCACGTTCCATTGGGCTAGGTAAGACCCTTTAAATCCAAATAGGTTTAAAGTTCCCAAAATTCAATGACCTTTTTTTTGTAAGAGTTTTTTTTTAGCGTTTCTGTAGATATAAATATATATAAATATATATATATATATATATATATATATATATATTATATATATATATATATATAAATATATATATATATATATATATATATATATATATATATATATAGTATATATATATATATATATATATATATATATATATATATATATATATATATATATATATATATATATATATATATATATATATATATATATATATATGTATATATATATATATATATATATATATATATATATATATATATATATATATATATATATATATATATATATATATATATATATGTATGTGTGTGTGTGTATATGTATATATTTACATATTATATACAAATAATTTATATATATACATACATGTTGTTTGTTCTAACCTTTACTATCACAAGTGTCTTTTATAGTTTTTCAAAAAATTCTGCAATGGAACCTTACGAATAAAAAATTTGCAAAAAAGAGGTTTTAGGATATGCATATTTGCTAAGACGAATGTGTGAAAATTGTCACAATGAAAGACTTTTTGAACGAGTAATGAAATTAGAAAGGGAGAAATTATTTAAATCACTAGAAAAACCAACTGATATAAAAAGGTATTTATCCAAAAAGCTGATTAAGCTTAGCAAAAGTGGTAAATATGTTTCTAAGGAGGAGTTGCTGTCAACTCCAGAAAAAAGTTCGGATGATGACGAAGGTACAGATCCAGACTTTGTTCCTGGTACTCCTAAAGCTCTATCTGGTTTACAGAATAATAAAAAGTCCATTCTTCCTCCCTCTAACCCTGCACCTGTGATACCCTGCTCTCCAAAACAATCCGAGTCTGACCTTTCTAACCCTGACACCTTACCGTCCAATAATGTACCTGACATACCCAGCACTCCAAAGCGTAACAGTGAGAAACCTTTATTTAACATCCTCCCTAAGCGTAACATATACAAAAAATCAAAAACTTCAAGAGCAACTGACGTTTCATTGTCAAAACAGCCTGAGATTAGCGAGCCAGTTGAGGAAGTGCTATACCTCCAGGATAAAATAAGAGACCATCAAAACTTTGAACGGCATTTTTCTGGCGATTCACATTATTTTCCTGGAATTAGTCATTCTGCCTCGTTTTCTGAGGACATTGATCCAGAGATTTACCTCTCTTGTAGTAGGTATTTGGAATATAGAAAAAAAAAATTATCGAGGATCTCAAAGAGCTCTTTGGAAACAGTACCAGAGTATGCTTTTTATAACATTATTAATCAAAAGGTACATATATAAAAGTAAAAACGCACCCTGACGGTTTTTTTGTTTAGTGGAAAAAACTCTTCCACTATTATTTTCATGTTCAACAATTTTTATGTTAGAGCATAAAACACTCAGTTGATTTATCTTATAACTAAACTGAGTGTTTTATGCTCTAACATGAAAATTGACAAAAAACCTAGATGGTGCATTCTTACTTTGAGGTGACGATTTAAAGTATTTTAAAAGATCCTTTTTTTTAGGTGGTTGTTTATAAACGAAATAACGGCAGGGTTGAGTACAAAATCAAATGCCCAGAGCCAAATTGCTCTTCTTTTACAACGAAGTTTTCGAGACACTTGCAGGAAAAGCATCAGTATAGTACTGAGTTGTCAAACTTTTATCAGTCTTTTTATATAAGATATTTAAGTTTAAAACGCGTGTTTTAAAAAACACCAACAAACCATATTCTTGCAGCCATTGCATGCTGTGGTTTGATAGGCTAGACAAGCATCTAATCAATGAGCACCATTATATTAATGGAAGGTAAGTTACTGCATATTTTATTAATTACTCTTTTTTTAATAACATTCGCTGTAGTAAAAACAATGTTATTTATTTTTATAGTGATTCATTCAAAGAAAAGATGAAGTCAATGAAACAAAAATCATCGGCGTTTCTTTTGAAACAGAACAAAAATTTTTTGCGGTAAATTGTTTATTTTACATTTAAACTTAATCGTAATCAGATAAGGAAATTTTTGATAATAATATAACTGTGTACCTATGTTACTTAAATCCAAATTCAGTACCAACAGATTCAGATTAAGGTGATGATGTTTTTAAGTCAGATGTTAATAAAAACAAAGAATATTTACATTTTAAAGGTCATTACATTTTTAAGAAATAGTTATATACATGAATTCAAATAAATTTTTATTCCACTAATTTGTATTTACACATTGACAATAAAACAAAAATAAAACTTTAGAGGTACCTACTAATTTTACGGTGAAGGAGCCCTTAGCTGGTCCAAGTGGCAATGTCAAAAAAAAAGTTATAACCCTGACTCACCTCCAAGAATCTTTAAAAAATGTTTATGGTAAGAAAACTTTATGTTTTAAATGCACATAATCTTTTTTTGTTTATTGATAATATATATATAAAAGTTTTTTTAAGATTATTCTTCGTCGGATGACGATAAACCTAATAAGGTCCTTGAAAAATTTAAAAACCCTGAGAAGTCTTAAAATCAATCGTGTTCCTTTCGAGGTGAGAAACGTATAGTTAATTAGTTTTTGTCAATATTTTTACTTTATCTTTATATAAATTTGTTAGTAATAAGTAGAACTTTTTTAGTCAAATTTGTTTGACGTTATCTTCCTCAATCATTGCAGGCAAAGAGCCAATGAATTTGCTTGGAGTTAAAAGTAACAAAAGCATATTGCTCCATAAAACCGACCTCACCTCTTTTGAAAAAAAAAGGTATAAAATTACCAACTTTCCTTCTTTTGAATGATTTCGAACGTTGGTTGCTTAAAATAAAGCATCAAAATAAAGACAACGCTCAAAACCATTCAAACCACGTTAACAAAATATGGGCTACATTGGATCCACTCCAACGATGTTTGCTAAAAAACTTATTGGTGGATCCCAATTTGTTGTCAGATTTTTATGCTTCACCTTTAATTGAGATTATTAAAAAACAACAAAAATTATCAGCGGACCAGCAAGAACCCCATATTCAGCCAAGAACAATCATGGCAAAACTAGGTTCATTAAAAATGTTTTTAGAGTTTCTCCAATCAAGGTTAATTTTCGCAGGTATGACGCCAATTGATATAGAAAATTTAAAGCTGCGCATTAAAGAAATAAATAGCTCTTTGAGACCTTATGTGTCTCAACGAGAACAAGATCTGAAAGGCTTTAAGAACCTTAATGTGATTACAAAAGAAATATTCAGTGTCTACTATAACAGTAAGCACGTTGTCAACATTCAAAAACTATTAGGTTCTGCTTCTGTTAAGCCAACAATTTCGGAAGCAATAGACATTAGAGACTATTTGATGATAAATATTTGCTTCTGGAATGCGACTAGGTCGTCAAATTTAATGAATATCTGCTTAGGCGATATTACAAACGCCTACCAAAACGAAGAGTTCCCCGATGTCTATTGTATTAACTCGGACAGATATAAAACGTCCATGATTTATAGAACTAAAATCATGGTCGTAGATGATGTTTTGTTGGACAATATAAATGTGTATATTGAGACCTATCTACCGTTGTTAATGGGAAAAAAACCTATTTCTCCAAGTTCATTTATTTTCGTAACTAAATCTAGTGAAAGAATCACTCAGTCAGCAATTGCAAACGGAATGACTGTCAGTTTTAAAAAAGCAGGTCTTTTTTCATCATCGAAAGAGCACAAACGAGTCTGCCCTACAAGAATAAGAATATCGATTGCGACAGAGATTGCTTCTGAGGGTGACAATGGGTTAGAGGAGCTGGCGACAGTAAGTTACTATAAGCATTATAAAACCTTTGAATAAAGTGTATTACTTTTATGACTTTATTTGTTTGGAAAGTTTAACAATTAAATTATTTTATTTAACCAGTAATTTGTTTTTAGGTTTACATGAAAAACAATCCTAACACCACAAAAAAGTTTTACATTGCTAACTTTGTAAATCGCAAAGCAGCGTCAATAAGTATTAAAGTGGGAACCCACTTTGATCTTTTTAGAAAAACAAAGCCTAAACCGGTATCAGTAGAGGGATTGAAAAAGTGGATGAAGGTTAATTCGAATAGAATTAAAGAGCAATTTAATGTCAATTATGTTGATGAGGAGATAGATCATTACTTAAACAAAAACGGAGGTGAAGTTGTGTCGGAGGATGGTAAGTGTTTTATTGATGCAGATCTAAAATTTGATAAGATTTCTTTAAGTATTTTAAATAAATATTTTAATTTTAGATGTGATAGTTCCAAAAAGTAAACCCAAATATGTTGAAAGGCCAGAAAAGAATAGTAAGTCAATTGGCAATTTTAAATCTTGTGGTATAACTTATTATTTTTGGATGAGTGTAAAAAAGTATAATATATATGAATAAATACTTAATGTGAATGGTTTAAATATAATTAAACGTTGAAAAGTATTTTATGAAGAAGCAATATTAAAAAAAAGACCTGAGCCAAATGGTAACTTAATTACATAGATCATACTCAACGTTATAGTAAAACTTTTAGAATATTCTGAATTTTATACATGTTTAGTTTTGGAAAAAGATCAGAATGTTGATGTGGATTTTTCAGTTACAAAATCATTAGAAAAAAAAGGTAAGTTCAACTTGACATAACATTAAAAACATTTACGATATAATGATTAACTAGTTAACAACTTTATGCACGATTAGTAAATAGGAATGAAAGAATCCGTTGATTTAAATGAATCTGTTGTTAGTGAAGATGAAAGTGGTCAGGGTTTGAGTAACATAGAAAGTAAGTAAATTTTAAGTGTTTTGTTAAATATTCATGTTATACCCAAAACTTTTATGTGGTTTATATTGCAAATTCAATTTAGAAAATGATGTCAAAGATGATGAAAGTGTAAGTGTGTGTGTAATAGGAATGAAAGAATCCGTTGATTTAAATGAATCTGTTGTTAGTGAAGATGAAAGTGGTCAGGGTTTGAGTAACATAGAAAGTAAGTAAATTTTAAGTGTTTTGTTAAATATTCATGTTATACCCAAAACTTTTATGTGGTTTATATTGCAAATTCAATTTAGAAAATGATGTCAAAGATGATGAAAGTGTAAGTGTGTGTGTAACAGATATGTCTGAAGGTAAGTAAAATTTCTAATTTTTTTCAGATATTGTTATTATGTAAACAGTAAGGTTTTATCACTAATTTTATTAGGCCTAAGTGCATATTATTATTAACATTATTATTTACAGAAAATGGTGAGAACGCCATAATGAGAACGTCTTTACTTGAACGCCAAGTCTTGCATACGAAAAAACTGAACAATCCAAAGTTTCCAGTTTTCATTCAAAAAATAATTCCAGGTAACAAAAGAATTTGATTATATATTGTGTTAAAACAATTATTTTACATACAGAATATAATACATCAGATTTTAATAATTACTCTTTTTAATAGCACGAAAACCAGAAGAAAATATGTACATAAAAAATCAATCAGAAATGTTGATAGAAATTTTAAAAGATTCCAGTAGTAAATCGATGAAAGGTAATAAAACAGATATAAACTTCAAATAACCTTGCATTTATCTATGTTACAGATTATTGAAAAAAGTTTTTTTCAATAATCTGTAAACCCTGATGGAATTAGGTAGCGACCAAGAGGTGGTAAAACAATATAAGAAAAGGAGATTGATAGGTATAGCTTTTCTATTCATATATATTTATATATAAAATTATTCATAATTGTATAAACATTTTTTTACTTTTATAGATAGTGATAGTGAAGATGAAGAAGGTATTAGAATAAAGAAGAAAAGAAAAGGTTCAGGTATTACATTTATATATATGCATGTATATATATACATGTATATATAAATATATATATATATATATATATATATATATATATATATATATATACATTATATATATTATATATATATATATATATATATATATATATATATATATATATATATATATATATATATATATATATATATATATATATATTATATGTATATATATAAATATATATATATATTTTATATATATATATATACACATATATAATATATATATATATATATATATATATATATATATATATATATATATATATATATATATTTATATATATATGTATATATATATATATATATATATATATATATATATATATATATATATATATATATATATATATATATATATGCGCCTACGTTAAAGTTTTACTTTTTACACTTAAAAATGTAGATTGTGGAAATGATTCAAGAGTTGAACGCCTCGATGAAAGACAGGAGATGGTTTTAAAAGGTAAATTATAATTTTTAAAAATTTCTGAAGAATATTTAAACCATTACTTAAAATATTTAATTTTATAGAGTATGATCAAAAAAAGAGATCGGACTGGTATGTCACAAGATCGACGAAGTATAGAAGAAGTGTTTATTTAGCGATTGCTCTTATTGGAAAAAGAATGATAATATCAACAAATCCAATAAACTCCAAGGATTGGAAAATTTGTTTTCAGGAGAACGGAGAAAAATAAACCTTATCAACCTATGCGAAACGATGATTTGGGATGAAATGCGGACGGTTCTTCGCAACATGCAAAAAAAGTATCAAAAAGAAGAGTGCCACAAAGATTTCGCGAGTTTTAATGACGAGGGCACCGTCATGTGTAGACTTTTGTTGTAAAAGTGCATCATTTCTTGTATATTTAAAGATTTCTTATATATGCTTAAAGATTTCTTATATATTTCTTAAATAAAGTATTTGTTTTTGATACTTATTGTCTTTTTTTAAGTTAACCCCCTTATCCGTTTTTACAATCCAAAATTAGATCTTAAAATGGATTTTTTCATTGATAGATCAATCAATATTACCATCGATATGCTAATTAAAGGTCTATGTTATGAATAAACGTATAGGTGCTGTATAGTTCGTCCTTAAATAGCTAAAAACTGCTAAAAAACAAATTATAAACACTAACCCGATTAAAACCAAAAACAGGGTTATGGCGGAATATATTTGGGTTAGTGTCGATGCGGATTTTTTTAAACCCCCTATAAACCAAGACGAACGATACAGCAGCCGTTACATGTCATACATCATTTCGATAGAAAATTTAACGGTGAGTATAACAACGCAACCAGTGTTTACGGCTGCCGTATTGTTTGTTTTCATTTTACAAAAATACCATAAAAAACAAGTTTTATGACAAAAAAACGTCTTTTAAGAGACAAGGTATATAGCAGCAGTCACATATTATACCTCATTTCAATAGAAAATTTAATGGTGAGTTTAACAGTGCAAACACTTTAAACAGCTGCTGTATATTTCGTCCTTAAACATTTAAAACTGCAAAATAACAAAACCTTAATCACTAACCCGTTTAAAACAAAAAACAGGATTTTGGCGGAATATATTAGGGATAGTGTCGACGCGGAATTTATACAAACCCGTATAAACCAAGACAAATTTAGCAGCAGCCGTCACATGTGATACATATATTTGATAGAGAATAAAACGGTGAGTATAAGAACGCAAAAATTTTTTACTGCTGCCGTGCCGTTCGTCGGCAATTTGCAAAAAACGATGTAACCGGACAAAATTATTGGACGAAAAATTATTGTTTAAAGACAAACTATACATCAGCCGTCACATATCATACATCAATCCGATAGGGAATTATACGGCAAGTCTAACGATGGTATTACATTCAACGGCTGCCGTAAACCTTGTCTCTAAACAGGTAAAAACTGCTGAAAAAACAGGGAAAGAGCTAATTGAAAAACGCGATTTATAGACAAACTATGCGACAAGCGTCAAAACAGTTTGCGTCGTTGAACTCGCAGTTAAATTCTCTATCAAAATGATGTATACCATATGGCAATCTCAAAGATCAATTTTTGACCCAATTTTCCTGATGGTACATCAGGGAAAAAGTCAATTTTTGAAATGCTTTATATTATACATCATTTCGATAGATAATACAATGCTGAGATCAATGCCGCAAACAGAATTTGATAAAACTATATAGTTTGTCTCTAATCTGCAAAAAACTGACGCAAAAATTTGAGGGGCGGCAACAGAAAAACGTCAATTAGAGACAAACCATACAGCAGCCGTCACATGTGATACATCCATTCAATAGACTATCAAACGGTTAGTATATAATTGCAAACAGATTTGACGGCTGCCGTGTTGTTCGTCGGTAAATTGCAAAAAACTACGTCAAACAACAACTCCCAATGACCGAAAAACGTTGTTTAGAGACAAACTATACGTCAGCCGTCAAATATCATACGTCAGTTCGATAGAGAATCAAACGGAGAGTCTAACGATGGTATCACATTCAACGGGTGCCGTATACCTTGTCTCTAAACGGGTAAAACCTGTTAAAAAAACAGAGGGGGACCTGATCGAAAAACGCGATTTATAGACTAACTATGCGACAAGCGTCAAAACAGTTTGCGCCGTTAAACTCGCAGTTAAATTCTCTATCAAAATGATGTATACCATATGGCAATCTCAAAGATCAATTTTTGACCCAATTTCCCTGATGGTACATCAGGGAAAAAGTCAATTTTTGTATTTTTTGTAAAATTTGTATAAAATTCCTTTTTTTTTTTTTTTTTTTTTTTTGTATATATATGTTTGTGTGTGTGTGTGTGTGTGTGTGTGTGTGAAAATTCGAAAAAGAAGAATCAGGAGATTTGATCGTTAAAAGTGGCTGGCTACCCTGAATAATTTAAATGTCATAGTTGTATTAAATTGAACTCAATAACTTTTCTTTGAACTTTTCAATAAATGTTTAATAAATTTATTTACAATTTCATTATTAAATAAATTTCAATCAATGCTAAATAAATTTATTGTTTGCTTATAACTAATTGCATTGTTTAGCTGCGCTAACTAATCCACCACCACTACCAGAACCTGTGCCAACTAATGCACCGGCTTCAGGTAAGAATTATTTGTTGTAAAAAAAATTTAAAATGGCATAATTTTTCAATATATTTATTACAATATAAGTTTCAATATAAAAGTGTTCAAATGAAATTGTTTAAGTTTTTGATAAATATAGATTGTAAAGAGTTTTCATATTCTCCAAAAATAGATTTTTTACTTTAAAATAAATTCCACATTTATTTTTTAGCTTTAATGTCCGCTGCAACCGGTAAAAGCATCATTTTTAAATATATTTTTATATTAATAATATATTTCATACATAGTTTTAATTATTCCTTTTATAAATTTTAACATATGTTATAATTACTTCTTTTCTTTAAGATACCTCGTACGAAGCTTACAGGGTGTATCGGAGACGAAATCGTGGGCCCACTAGCCCCAATTCATATAGGAGGTGGGCCGAAAATGGGGGTGCAGACGACCCCTCCTTCGTTTAGCAGGGTTATGGAAGGGGTAGGGGTAGGTGAGGGGGCAATAAACATTTTAATTTTATTTATAAATAGTTTTTGTATTGTACTTTTTTGTTATTTCTATTGTTTGAGTTTTTGCTTTTTTTGTTTTACAGACATATAAATAACATATTTAACTTTATTTGCTTTTATTTGAATTTCCCTTAACTTTCCAATTGTATGTTTCAATTTATACATTCACTAAAATTTAAATACTATTGATGTAGTTTCATCAATAGTATTTAAATTTTAGACAGCAAAAGTTTAGCTTGAAAAAACTACATTATCAATTTCATCAGTTATTATTACATATATATCTTTATCCGGATATTTTTTAAGGCTTTCAATCCGGTTATTTATAAAGTACATACATACAAGTTAAAGTATTTATTCATGTTATGCATATTTATGCTCATGCATATTTCGGCATATATTTTGGATGCGTACTAAAAAATCAAATTTCAACGTTGAAAGTTGAAAATTTTAAATAGTTTTTTCTTCTTTAACATTAGGGAAACAATAGTCTTTCATTATCTAAAAAAATATCTGTTATATATATAATATATATCATTTATATCAAAATACATATATCAAAAATATCTATTATATATATAATACATAATATGCATTCAATGTATAATTCTGATAAATCTTTGAATTTGCTAAATTTAGGTAAATTCGGATTTTCTTCATATTAAGTCTCAACATATTTATCTATCCATATAGATAAATATTAAATTACATAATGGAACTAGAATTAGACGGGCTTTTAAAGAGTGATTTTAAAATTAAAAATATATGGTTTGTGGTAATTGTTTATTTTTACTAATGAGATATAATTTCAATTTGAAGATATATGTTTTTCAACGCATATATAAAAAATCCGAAATGAAATAAATGATTTTTAGAAAATATATAGCATTTCAAATTTTAAACACAGAAAGAAAGAAAATATTAAAAAAATAAATTTTAGACGAGATTTAGGGTCCACGGACCCTAAATATGTACTACGCGCTGCGATAAACAGCTAATAAACCAATAATGGTATGATCATGAAATTTTTACAGCTTTTGAATAATAAATGATTACACTTACCCTGCCAAAATAGAATAATTTCATAAAATATTTATGATTTTGTAAGGAAACCGGTTTAAGGGGTAAAAAAAGACCCGAAAACGCTTTGAATCGACACTAAGTATTTGGAACCGATAAACTGACATAAATTATTTTGGTAAGTTAAGTGTATATTAGGGTGGAGTGATTTTCATACTTTTTAGGAATTTTTACCCGGGAGTAAGTTAAACAAGGTAAAATAAGAGCTTATGAAAAATTTCAGCCTCCCAAAGTAAAAAATGGCAACCTTAATTGATTTTGAAAACGTAATTGATTTTGAAAACAAGTAAAACGAAATCAAAAAATCAAATAAACTCACCAAATTTATTCTTTTATGAATTGTAATTCAAATAAACTTAAAGAAGTCTATACAATGGTATATACAGTTAAAATATTACATGCCGGACGGTTATTGATAAAACGGGCACTTGATAAAACAGCGATATAAGCGGACACTTATTAATAATACTAAATATCTTCACTAATTAACCGATATTTGCAAATTTTAAAAAAGTTTTTAAATTATCAGTGTGTGGAAAATAATAATCAAAATAAATTTATTAAAATAATTTCTTTAATAAGATATTTAAGTCCAAACAAACCCTAATCGTAAAAGTCAAACGTTTTTGGGAAATTAGAATTTAAGAATGAAATGTTTAAAAAGGCAATTTAAAAGATACATTTAAAACCGATACAGTTAAGCGACAAGTTTTGTCAGAAGAGTGCTACAATTTGGTGTGTATTGTAAGCAGACCAAATTACTCTTCAAAACAGATATAAATTACAATTGAGCCTACATATTACCATATGTAATTTGATCAAACCTATTTTTGTTGGCTTTCATGCTGACATTTATTAACAAAACGTTTGTATAGTGGAGTAAACTATAAATAATTATATGGAAAAAGTTCTTTTAAAAAAGTTATGTTTGTAAAACCATACTTGAAAGCAGTGTAGCTTCTACAGTTTTTGAATTTAATGAAGGAACAACTACAGTTTTGATTGTATTTTTAAATCTCGGCAACCATACTGGGAAGTACATGAATATAGCACCATATATTTTAACACAAATATATTTAATGCACGCAATATTTAATGTGAAATACTCGTAAGTAGTAGGTAGAAAAAAACTAGTGAACAAGGCAAATAAAAATAGCAAGTAAGGTGAAAAAACTTAGAGTTAAAGAGAAAATGTTTCTCAGACAATGAATAAGACACTGATAAAATAGAGTCCTGAATATATGGAGTTAATTAGTTTTGTATAACGTAGAGTTAGCTATATTTGTAAACATTTTTCAACGCTCGTTTTCTCTAAAGTAAGTATTCGTACTTGGTACAAAGATATCTCAAGTTCTACAAGCCCAACTGACTTGAAATTTTCACAGTATCTTCAATGCATTAGTGTCAACAAAATGTACAAAAATCAACACTTTCCTACTTGGCTAAAGGTAGTTATGAATAGTCATGTCCATTTTTTTTATCATTATTTTCAAGCAAATTATTAAAAATACCATAAAATATTGAATTATTATTTTTTCATAACTTTGGTACATTTACACCCATGCATGAATGCTACCTGCAAAATTTTATTACAATTGGATTAAGTAATATGGAGTTATCTATGTACCATTGTAGGACCTTTTTTACCTAATTATGCTAACTAATGATATTAAATTAATTTTTTTAAATTAGTTTACTTATTTTATTTATAGGGCAAAAATGTTATTAAACAAGAAAAATCTCTCTATAGTAATTTTTAAAGAAAATAGCTTGAATAGGGATCTACCACCTTAAAGAAATAAGCAAGGTTGCTTCTACATTCAAACGGCGTGTCCGATGATAATAAAGTTTCCGACAATTTTTAAAGATTATATAGAAATCTGCCAATTATATGGAGCAAATAAAAATTTCTTACATTTTTTTTCATTTACATCTTTGTGATCGCAACACCCCCTTTGTCAAAACTTTTCGTAACCTCCTATATTTACTTACATCATTTATGGATTGCGCTTAACTAGCAAAAATGCATTCAATGAAGATTTTTTTAAATGATATACTATCACCCCAAATAGTGTGTATTTTGATTGCGATGTTCCCTAGGCTATGTAAAGAAAAAAACATTCGCGACAACCACCATGCGCAAACACCACCAAGGAAAGTGTTGTTAAACTGTTATATTTCCTAAGGTATTCAAAGGCTTTTCTGCGGTGCATGTTCGTTTATACCGTAAACAGGTAGCTGGTATAAACGAACATGCTATAAACTTAACAGCGCAAATTAGTATTTTAAAAACGATTTAGTAATTTTAAAAACGATTTTTTTTTTGTATATTAATGGATTATTTTCTTTCTCCGCTTTTTGCGGAAAAAACTTAGAGTTTTACAGATCAGTCTTTGTTTTTTTGTCATAGCATTGGGACCAGGGTCAAAAATAGTCAATTAAAGATCAAGACAAATATTATTATAAATTAAACATTTATTACATTCATGAACTTGGTCGAGAAACATTGGAGTTCCTTTTTTGTCTATAAGAATGAGAGTGAAGGTGTATTACTAAACTATGATAACAGATTTATACGTAAAATATGCATCATATGGCGCCAATATTCGCTGTTAGCTAAAAATAAGATATAAAATTGTCATAGTATAAGCAGAACAATATACATTGCGACATAGTAATAGACTTTATGACTAACAGTGCAAGTCGATCATGATGTCTATATAAGTATAGTCTCAGGTGCTAAATACTCGAGAGGAGACATTGATTTTCTTCTTTTATTTTATATTTCACTATCACTAACCTTATTTATACTAGGGTAATAATTAATTTTCTCTTAGTAAAACAAATAAACTGCATCCTTAAATCTAAACTGATTCAAATTTTTAGCAAAATTTAGCTTTCGATATAGCTATATATAGATATATATCAAATCCAATTGAAATTATTACAACCACAGATATGAAATTTCGATGCAACAACCTACCCTCTATTTAATGGAACTGAAAGGAAATACAACCCCCGTTAGATTTTGTAAAATATTTTCCACTTCTTTCATTTTAAGTAATATTTACTCACCCTCTTTCATTTCTACTTCGCTATGTATTAAGCACTTGAGAGTACCACTTCAAATATATATAACATATTAAAAAAAAACTTACAAGGGCTGTTATAAAAATTTACCTATATGCATTTCTAGTAGCAACAATTGGATTGCTGGTGTCATCACCAAGCTATATGCATTTCCGATAACAACAACTGGATTGCTAATATCATGACCAAGCTATATGCATATCCAATAACAAAAATTGGATTGCTGGTATCATGACCAAGCTATATGCATTTCCAGTAACAACAATTGGATTGCTGGTATCATCACCAAGCTATATGCATTTCCAATAACAACAATTGGATAGCTGGTATCATGACCAAGCTATATGCATATCCAATAACTACAATCGGATTGCTGGTATCATCACCAAGCTATTTGCATATCCAATAACTGGTACTATTTTCAAGCTTTTTGTATTATAATAACAGCAACAGAAATGCAAGAATGGAACTATTTCATTTAATTTCAGTGGTGAAGAAGAAACATTGAATACTAAAACCCTAAACCGCATTTAAATAGTGGTTAAAATTTAAAGAATTTTAAAAATAAAAAATCTTTTTTTCACTTGTCAACTTAAAACTAAAATTTCAAAAATATAAAATGCAACAATGAAAATTTATATTAAAAAAATCTCAATATTTATGATAATACTTTTAATATTAATTACCTTTGTAACAATAACCAACTATAATTTTAACAATTTAATATGTTGGGTTACCTTAACAACTTATGACATTTATTAACAGATCAAACCTTAACTTCACGTAGTGTGCATCTGGCAATTAGAACAGTTCCATATTACATCTTCCTTTTCATAAGCACACAGTGGAATTTTTTGACACTCACGATGAAACCATTTTTTACAAAGACAGCATTGAGCCATTTGCCTGCAAAAACGAATCCATTAGATGTTATCAATGTGAAACTAGATATCAATTATATCATAATTTTTATACTTTAAAATTTATAGGGAAACAATCACAAAGGGAATTGCCATGCAAAGTTATATTGGTCACTCTAACAATATCAAAGTTAATATTGTCACTACCAATCTCAAAGTCAAATATAAATGATAACATACCTATTAAAAATGTGCTCATCTTCAAGGATCCAAAACATTCGACATGAGCAATGTAGAGGAATGTTGAAATTTTTTGCTACACATCTTCTAAACATAGAAGGAGTAATGGCAGTTGGGAAAACATCTAACTGATTGTTTAGCATACAGTTAAGAAGGTGAATCCTCATTTTACTTTGCTCAAACATAAGAGTACTTGGTGGTATTTTATTTGCTTCAAGTACCTGTCGAGCCAATGCAATAGCATAAAGACCACAATCTACACCATTTGTTTGCTGCTGAATTGGTAAAACTTTAATAACAATTTTTTTTTTGGACAGTGCAAAATAGAGCATATTTGCCTTTTTGTCTCAATACTTATTGAACCATGAAAAAGACTGTCAAAAACATATATTTCCCCAGGCTTGCAATCATATGTGGTAATGCACACCCAATGTAGATTACCATCATGCAGAATTTGCACAAATGGATCACTTGGACATATATCAAAAGACATAACCTTTCCTTTAATGGGATCGTGCAGGCCAATGTTGATGTTTAACTGAACTGACATCATTTGTTGACAAAAGTGAATGACCTTATCATTTATCATTTTTCCTTTTCCTATGTCATCCCTTTCTAAATCTCCAATCAATGAGCATTTCAGTTGCTGAATAGAGTGCAGATCCTTTTTAAGTTGGAAATTATCATTAACAATATTGGCTTCGTCAAAATCTTGGCAAATATCAGCTCTTACTTTTACTTTACATACACTACCTTCAATGTTTGATTCATTGGGTACTGTAAACATTTCACAATTTTCATCCATTACATGATTTGTTAAAATCTCGGTGATACAAGATTTATCTTTTGCTTTTAATAGCACATCGATATTTGAAGCTGCCTTGATCTTATCATGTTTTAAACCAACTCTTTTGGACACTTTCCTTCTGTGTCGAAATTTTATAGCGGTAATTTTGTATCTGACTTGACCCATGTTTCTGGTTCTTTACCTGGACGTAGGATAACCGCTTGATCATTTTTAAGAGTTTTTGCAAAGTTTGTTTTAAGTTTAGAAAGCTCATCAAATAGATTGTCTGTAGCAATTTGAGATTCACATAAATATGTCATTTTTATTATTGCATTAAGAACTTCACGACATGCTGCTGGTGTGTGCCTTGACTGTGAGAGATCATGCACTACATTTTGATCAAGGTTTGACACTTTACTATTAATACAATGAATACTATGTATTGGCTGATTATGTTCATGCGAAACAAATTCATTCAGTGGTTTTGCATCTTCAAGGCTATGCAGACTTGATGATATATTGTTCGAAACCAAATCTATAAAAATACCGCAATCTGACAATGGGTCAAGCACAAAATATGCTGATTCTCCATAAGAGGGATCAAAATCAGACCACGACATATTTTCTTTAATAAAAATGGCAAAAAAATGTTTCCACGGATATGCACTAAATAACTAAGCAGAACATGAACAATAATGCCAATTGGTTTGCACATCCAAGATTGCATTTGTAGGTTTCTCTACTATTACTCTGAAATGAAGCAACATTGTATAATCTGTCTGTTACTGCACTAACTCTGACTGAATCCATGCTTATTACTTTATCTATCAATTTCATGCAATGTTTTACTAAAGGTTGTGGACGATTTGTCAAATATGCTGGAATATTAGCCTTATATTTTCTGTAAGATGAATGTGCTCTCCTATTTTTATCAGCATAGCTAAATGAAATGAAACTGTCTAATTAGACAAGATTTAATCAAATCAAATTTAACAATACAGTAATGGCAACAGTTACATCAGCTATACATTTAATGCTATTTATTTTCTAAATAAAATCACAAGTACAATAATACAAGTGGTTGTAGCTAAATAAAATCACAAGTAACATAAAAATAACTAACTTTTCATAATTGTGAAGTAGAAACTCCTCTACTAACTATATACTAAGCATAGCTGTCAAAGAAGAATTTTTTCTTATTTCCAAAAAACTATATTTTAAAGATTGGTTTTGTCTTCCAGTGCCATTGTTAGTATTAATATTTCGCAATAAGCGTTGTCGCCAAAAAGCTAATACCCATCTCTAAATAAGAAAATTAATGCTTCAAGCAATCGAAATGAAGCTGAAATAAAATAAGGAACAATAATAAAGAAAGATTTTTTATAACATAAATACTAACCCTTTTGGTTACATAACCAAGTTCTGTTTAAATATTCAGCTAGTTTTGGGTTATTTTTCCACTCTTCAGAATCTTTTAAGGCTTTAACAGCATGTTGGCAAATTTCTTCTGTAGTTGCATGAGCAATTTTATGCAATTTTACCTTAATTGCATCTTTAGCAATACAACATCCATTAGAGGTTTTGGAAAGCCATCTCTCCCAAGCTTGCTCTCGATGAAAGTCGCATATCAAAACATTACAGCCTAAATAAAATGAGTTGGATTTTGTTTATACAGTGGTTGAGCTAACACAAAAAAGTAAACTAAACAGGATTATTAAGCAACAGTCCTCACCTGGAAAGACCGACTCTAATGACCTTATCTCTTCATTTGAGTAATCAGTTAAACAAAACTTTGGCTGAAATGTAGGGTTCCATTCTTTACTGCATAATAGTGCTTCTGTGATAGCAGATGTGGTTTCATTTTCACAAACAAAAATGGCAACAACCTGATAATCAATGTTTGTTTTAACAACCAGAAAAAAAAGTGGGAGAGCATACCTAGTTATGCGGTATGTTGCATCAAGAAAAATTAGCTCATTTCCGTATCGCAAGAGTAATCTTTTCTGCCAAACATCTTGATAGATAAATAACAATGAATCCTTAATCTCTGGATCATCAACCATGTTTACACCTTTTGGTCTAAACTTTATCATTGCTTCTTGGAAAATTATTTGCCATTCACTTATTTTATCATGCAAACATTCTTGATCTATCAAAGATCTGCGAAGTTTTCTTCTCACATTTAGCATATGATTTCGAATGGTCTTATCTATTGGAAAGTAACATTTGTTTGCGCTTTGTAGGTTATTATTGACATTAAATTCTGCTTGAACAAAAAACTCAAGATGTCGTCTCATTTCCGATACAGTGTTAACACCTTTTTTTACTAGATCAGCAACTTTTACTATAATATTTTCAGAAATGGGCTGACTGATACCTGCATTCTGAAAAAATGTAACAAAATCAACCTTATAAAAAACTTTAAGAAACAAAGCCACATAACTTTAAATTAAATAAAAATTTTTACTTACATCACCTACTGCATGACTCTTAAGAACAGAAATATCAGGCAATACTAGGATATACTTTCTGCACTTAAGTAAATTTCAGGGTCAATTAAAGCTAAACGGAGTTTTTTTGATGTTTCCTTTCTTAACCGTACTGTATTTTTAGAAACCTGTAAAAATGAGAGATAAATTGTTATAACTAGAAGATAAATTTTTAGTTATTTTTAAAGCTATCTAATTGTAGGGTAATATATTATTAACATATTAAAAAATAATTATATATATATATATATATATATATATATATATATATATATATATATATATATATATATATATATATATATACAATAAAATACCTTAAACTCTGGAAATTCAATAATTTCTTTTATATAGACCATGGCAGGACAATCAAATTTTTTGGTATCCTGCAAAATGATTCTATTTTTTTGGCAATAATGATCTGTACTCTACACATTAAAATAAATATGCACAAGTTAATTAAAATCGCATATCTGTTGTTTATGAATTAAAAATAAATATGCTCAAGAATATGATAATAATAAATATTAAAGAAACAAAAAAAATATATATATAAAAATTATAATCTTTACACTATAGTTATTTATAATCATTATAACAGAAAAGAGATTTGAAATTGTGAGTTAATTAAATAAGTTTCCAAAATTTTAGTTACACTTACAGCTTCAATATTTTTCTTTATCCTGTACTGAGCCTTTTTTTAAATATATCTGTCTTTTCCATGCTGACAGTCGAGTGTTGCTGGTGTTGACACAATGAAGGTACTCCTGTGTAGGAAAAATCTTTGTCCTCTTAAAACAACTTGTGTTCTTTCTTGAACAATTCTAAATAAATTATACTTATTAAAGTAATTTCTATGTTTTAGTAAAAAAAAAAAAACATAAGAAATTGAGTTAAACATACAGTTGCTTCAGGTAGACTGAACTTTATCTACAGCTTATTTAATGAATTTGCAAACCTTCATAGTTCTTTTCCATGCTACCTGTACAAGTTACAACATAATGCACTGTGTGCAACATTTCGTGCTCTGCAATTTTCGCACAAACATCTGCATAAGTAGCAAAAACATGCTTGGTAACAGGTACTTTAGATTCAACTGATGCCATTTGTTCTAAAATATAAAAATTTGTAATCCTATAGGAATACTCTTGCATGATACAAGTTGTGTCATAAGAGTAGGTCACCATAATCACACAAGATAATAAAATATCTTACCCACTGAATGTTTTAAATTAAAATAGCAACTATCTTCAAGAATTAATACACAAATTTGAAATAAGAACTAAAGAAACATTTTTTAAACTGTTTAACAACCTTATCATAAAGAAAAGCAATACAATAAATAACATCATTAAAATACAAACATATTCTTTTGAACGACATTATGCTATTGTTATACAAATTTTAAGAACACAAACATAAAGAAAGGCAATATAATAAATAGCACTGAATACTAGTATGTCTAATATTATTATTGTCATAATGTCGTTCAAGAGTACATTTAAAAAAAAATGCAATTATTGTTAGCTTTTAATACAAGCATGTACTTTTGAACAACATTACGCCATTGTTATACAAATTTTAAGAACACAAACATAAAGATAGACAATATAACGAATAGCACAGAATATTATTATATGTCTAATATTATTATTGTCATAATGTTGTTCAAAAGTCCATTTTTAAAAAATGCAATTAATAATAGCATTTAATACAAGCATGTACTTTTCAACGACATTATGGCATTGTGATACAAATTTTAAGAACACAAACATAAAGAAAGGCAATATAATGAATAGCACTGAATACTAGTATGTGTCTAATATTATTATTGTCATAATGTCTTTCAAAAGTACATTTAAAAAAAATGCAACTATTGTTAGCATTAACACAAGCATGTACTTTTGAACAACATTACGCCATTGTTATACAAATTTTAAAAACACAAACATAAAGAAAGACAATATAATAAATAGCACCTAATATTATTATGTATCTCATACTATTATTGTCATAATGTCGTTCAAAAGTACATTTATGTTTTAAATGCAATTATTAATAAACAAGCATGTACTTTTGAACAACATTATGTCATTCTTAAACAAATATAAGAACACAAACATAAAGAAATGCAACATAATGATTGGCACTGAATACTATTATATGTCTAATATTATTATTGTCATAATGTCGTTTAAAAGTGAATTTTTGTTTTAAATGCAATTATTAATAGCATTTAATACAAGCATCTAAGGATGTACTTTTGAACGACATTATGCCATTGTTATACAAATTTTAAGAACACAAACATAAAGAAAGGCAATATAATGAATAGCACTGAATACTATTATATGTCTAATATTATTATTGTCATAATGTCGTTCAAAAGTACATTTTTGGTTTAAATGCATTTATTAATAGCATTTAATAAAAGCATGTTCTTTTGAACGACATTTTGTATATAAATATATTTTTCTATTTAAAAACATAAAATAAAGAAAGGCAATACAACGAACATTACAGCATTTAAAACAAAAATGTATTTTTGAACGACATTACCTTTAAGCTGGCGCACGAGGCTATTTTTATGTTTTAATATGGTTTTAAATTACACGGAAAATACGCATGCGTAAATATTTTTCCAGGTCTGCAATTTGAGTTAGATCGGATTTGTACTTTTGAACGACAGGATATAGCACTAACCATATATATATAGATATATATATATATATATATATATATATATATATATATATATATATATATATATAAATATATATATATATATATATAATATATATATATATATCTATCTATCTATCTATATATATATATGTATATATATATATATATATATATATATATATATATATATATATATATATATATATTAGATATATATATAGATATAGATATATATAGATATATATATATATATATATATATATACATATATAAATATACATATATATATATATATATATATATATATATATATATATATATATATATATTTATAAATATATATATATATATATATATATATATATATATACATATATATATATATATATATATATATATATATATATATATATACATATATATATATATATATATTTATAAATATATATATATATATATATATATATATATATATACATATATATATATATATATACATATACATATATATATATATATATACATATGTATATATATATATATCTATATATATATCTATATATATATATATATAGATATATATATATATAGATATATATATAGATATATATATATATACATATGTATATATATATATATATATGTATATGTATATATATATATATATATGTATATATATATATATATATATATATATATATATATATATATATATATATATATATATATAT